CGGCTGAACAGCCAGAATGAGTAATGTCCTCAAGTTGCCATATGGGTGCCGCATGTGTATGAAATGCGCCGTTTCTGAGATCCCAGCGCGATAAAAAACATCCATAGATTAAGAAATGGAGTGAAGGCTTCAATCTATTGTCACACAAATAAGGAGACAGATTCAGTGCAAAAGATATGAATAAACGCATGGCTGCATAGCTTGCACTCACATTTACGTATCAAGCACAAGTCAATACGTTTCTCAAACACCTTTTTAAAACATGTGAACAGTCTTGCAACGAAATCTGTGAGATAAAATCTCCCCAATCCCTTGATCAACTCAGTAAACGGCATTGACCTCGTACTCCCCCCGATCCCTCCGCGATCGCCCCGGAAACTCTATATCGACGCGCGGCCACTGTACCAAAAAATGTATAATTCTAACCTGAAGGTTTGTAGGATCTTTGAAGGACTCCTCTTGAGCTGTCTGCAATTTTTCGAGAATCCAAATCTCAAGTTCGTCAGCATCCCTAAATTAGTAAGCGAATAATGATCTAAATGATTAACTAAATAACAATCAAAAGAGTAGGTGCATGAAATTGGGGAATAGAAAGCCTAATGACAATCAGATAATGGTATTTCCATTTTTGGAAGCCACTGGGTGTAGTAGAGAAAAAAATGAGAAAAACAGCAACTATAAAGCAACGAAAAGAGTTCTCTCACAATAATCTCATTTCATATGAATGATACATGTATGAAATAGACGTGTGTTCATCTGCCTTTTTCAGAATAAAGGGAACTAAAGAACTATTATTGCAGTAACCCACCGTTTGAAGTACTGATACTGTCGCGCCTCTTCTAGGCGATCCCTCTTACTTTTGGCATGCTCCTTGAACTGAGCGTAATGGCCAAGTACTTCTTGACGGCGATGCTAAAACAAATTATTTTCAATTTTTCATCTCTCAGTCCCCAATCTGCTATCGTTTTTCGTATGACTCAATAAATAACGGGGGCCCGAGTCTCCGATGAGGACTAGCTTCCCAAACTTGGACACAAAATCGATATCGCCAGAATAATGGCGACACTCGGCCTGCTCTTCAATCGGCCAGCCGGATAGAATACTTTCGTAATGGAAGCTGGCCGCTAATGTGCATAAGAAGGTGGGAGAAAGGCAAAAAACAAAAAAGGCGTATATCTCAAACCTGAATATCCTCCGCTGTCTCTAGAATTTTGATCTCGGCTGGAGGTGGAACTTCTAGTACGGGCTCTGGTGGGGCTCCGTCGTCAGACATGGCTAAAACTGACAGATAGCTGGCACTCTGACTCAGCTATTTAAGAGGAGAGGATGTAATGTGAACAAAATGATTGCTGACGAACTGCAAAAGAGAAAGTCACGAAATCATATGCAGGACGTAACAAGTGATGAGTAATCGTACAGATCCATAAATATGCACGAGTTCTTGGCGAAAATGAGTGCGAGGTTGGAGAAACGGATGAGCGCGAACGGAGTTTTTCACCCGACGGAGTAATGCATTGCTGCGCTGGCACACTCCAAACATATGAACAAGTTAGCTAATTGTTTAGAAGTTGGACTCTGCAAACGGGATATGTGCTCGCAAGAGCATGCACGCGCACGATGAGACATAAACTGACGGGCACACGTACGGAAAACGCTTTGTTTGCTTTTCGGCATGTGATAACAAACTTAGCAACTTACTCGATGACTAGATGAGTACAGGAAAGAACTGCAACCAGGAGGAATATAGAAATAACCGTTCAACAAGCCAAATTCATAGCCCAAAACTTCATGTAAATGAAGAGTAGAATGGTATAAGAAGACAGCGCTAATTAGACACTCTATTGGCAGATGCGTGCCCGCCACCTCGACCTTACTCACAAACCGAGCGCCACTTGGTGTATTCTCGCGCCCCTCTCAAGACTCGTTGCTTTGTTGAAAGCAAATATAGTTATAAAAAAGCAAAGCAAGCAAATATGCGGGCCTTCACTTTGAATCAGCACCAGCTAAAAAACGAGGTGTGCGCCTACACGGGATAGGCGATATGACTCATGCAGGAAAAAATTACAGCACGGCAGAGAAATACATTCAATGCATGCGAAGCAGATGGGAACAATGAAGGGCATCGAATTGATATGAAGAAAGGAACGTGCAAAAAAAAAA